ATGCCTTATATATCGCTGTGGAGCTGAGCACTGCAGGAGAGGGACGAGAAGCTGCATGCACGCTACGAGCTGCCTTCCACGGCACGTAACAGCAGGAACGGGAACAGGGCGCCTTCCAGAACGCCCGGCCGGGGCTTCGCCGTTGCAACAGCCAATCTGCCCTGAAAGACAGTCATGCTGTTTTCCCGGCGCTCACATCTGTTCCGCGTTCAGCGTCTTTCTGGCCTGCGGAAGAAAGGACGCCGTGCGCCCTGCTGAGGAACCGCGAGCGCCATCAGGGCAGTCCTGGTTAAGCGCGATGACGTTCTGTGCGAGACGTCTCGCGTGCCGGCGCAGCTGAACGAGGCGGACTGAGCGCGCGCCTGCGGTCCCCCAAAGAATGAAACCACGTTACAAAGCAGCCCAGAGAAAATAATCGCCTGCGGTGTGAAAAGCTGTTTAATCGAATTAAATATATACTCAGTTACGTTCACACTGCAATTTAATGGCGCATACATCAAAATCTGTGCAAGCACATTCAAATTATTTCCTCCACTTTGTGAGCAGATTACAGAAGAGGCATTCAGAGCCTAGTCGGTGCGGGGCCAGGCTGCCCGAGCTACTGCACATACCTCCTGCAACAGGCTGCCCCTTATCCCCACCAGATCACATAATATCAGACCAAAACCAGCAGCTGATATGGGGGAAAGCCTGTGAGAACCGGCAGGGGAGCAGTGGCCAAATGTACAGCGTTGCTGAGCGTGAAGCCGAGCACGGATTTATTTTTTTCCCCCTAGCCAGCCGCCTTTTTGGAGGTTGGCAAGTCTTGTTCTCTTTTCTGCTGTAACACAGGGACAATCCAACCAGACCAGGCTAAACTGTCGTTTAGCTTGCTATCAGGTCTCTACCACGCTAGTGTACCTGTAGCTACCCTAGCCACCCTCGCATCCCCACGCGGGTGACAAGGACTCCCCTGCTGCCGCCGGCAGCTTTGTGGGGCATCTCCAAACTGTAGCTGGCACGACTGCGCAAACACGCGAGCGCAGGGGGCGGCCCACCGGCCGCACATCCCATTTTTGTTGCAAGGGGTGAGGCCAACCCGAAATCATCGCTTCTGGCACACAGGAGCCTTGCAGGAAAATAACACCCAACCGTTCCTAGCCCCAGCACATCAGCTCTGCGTCCCAGGGCCTCCTTGCCTGCCCCCCAGCACAGCCCTTCTGCAGGTGGCTCAACAGCCGGCTGTTCTGCCTCTAAACAGCACCATGGCAATATCTTTACCTGCTTGTGCTTCATTTCCCCACGCTCGCATCCCACCTGGTCACGATATGACAGGACCTTCACCTCTCAGGAGAAGGTGAGGAGCTTTGGGGCACCAGTTCATGCTCCAGGCAATTCTACAGCCCATTGGGGCACAGAGCAGCGGGCACAGGCATGGTCATGGGACCCTTTGACTGGTGTCCCTTTTGCTGCCAGGAAACCCCAGCACATACAGACACCGATTGCCCCAGCTCTTCCAAAACTGGCTGCACTTCTCTCTTCTCCCTTTTGTCACGTTATCCCCACCCAAGGCCCTGCCAAGTCATGGGATCCCCGCAGCAAACTCCTCCTAGCCCTGGCCAAGCTGTCTGCTCATACACCAGAAAGAGAAGGCTCCAGCTGGGTACGCTATTCAGGCTACACGCACGTTGCAAGCCTGTACTGTTGCACAGAGGTTTCCACTTTGTGCTCATTCCCTTCTCTAGCTCTGACTGCCACTAAGCACTCAGCTGCTCTTTTCATATGACTATTACAAGTCAAACGCCTTTCCTGAATTAAAGCAACCGATCTTCATATCCCTAGATCTTTCAGCAATTCTTTTTAGCCAGCTTTTGTTGTCACCATCTCAGTGATCTAGCAGTATCAGTAAACTACCAGCTTATTTGCTAGATATGCGTGTTCAGTGAACAACAGAATGCCACAGGACTCTACAGGTGACCTCTCCTCCTTGTGAGAGCTATTTATTCCTAGTGCTCCCCACCTCCCCAACACACCTTTAACCAGCTGTTCTTCCTCTTAAGAGGACAGTTCTCCTTCCCCAGCAGCTTAGCTGTTGTTTCAAAGCTTTTGGCAAGAGTTGCAACGTACTTAGGTGACCAAGAAAACGTTCATTAGCCACACGCGCTGAATCAGCTGTGCATCAAGTTCACCAAAGAGCTGTTAGATTTGCAGAGGGGTACTCACACCTGAGGAAAAAAAGGTTCAACTTCTATCATGTTTAATCTGTGCTCCATTAATGCTATTCTTCAGCATTGGCAGAAACAGAATAGCTGTCAGCTGCTGAAACAGAATTCCTTGGATTAACTTCGATAGCTTTTTCAAAAGGGTAACCAAAAAAAAATCTCCAAAGATAAGGAGACAAAGAAACAGTCAACAGGAATGAAGAAATGGTAGAGCGCTTCAGTGAACTGAATCCAGCGTTCTTGGGCAGCACTATGGAATACATGAGCCAATAACTATGGGAAGGAAAAGGTAGGACTAAATTCCTTTGACTCCTTCAACCTACGGTGTCTCCTTGACAACTATTGCAACGTGGGACAGTCGGCACCTGTACTCTGTATCTTCTTTCAGACCTCCAGATTATGGCAGGAGCCTTGATCTTGTGGGAGAGGTGTGACATGAACATTTAAGTGGCATTTCAGAATCCCACCAGAGCCCCTTGCTGTCCTGTGGCCCAAGTAACACAGTCCTGAATTTTAAGATTCAAAGGTGCAAAGCAGCGGACAAGGACAGCAGTTATCCCATGGTGCTCCATCACCTGCTGTCCTTTCCTCTCCTTTACTGCCACCCCTCACAAAGGATGTAAAGAGGAATTCTTACATGTAGAAGAGCAAGTGAGGAAGCACATTCAAGACTGAATCCCACACAAGTTTAAAGCAAACTCTGGAAAACGAAGAAAAGGAAGAAAGTCATGCCTAATATTTATGGTCTTACCCCTCATACACCCCCATTCTAGATGGGCTACTTTGCAAATAACACAGGAAACAGAATCTTTTAATTAAATTTTTTTATTTATACCAATATAAGCACCATGCTTAGCAAAAGAGATTTGGTTTAAAGTAAACATGCAATGTGAACTAGCAGAGACTAAACAGCATAAGGAAGTTGTACGGGTTACTGATGGTTCCATGGAATTGCCAAGTTATCAAGACTGGCCATGAACCTCTCTCGCACCTTTTGCGATCTGCAGCGCTGCTGCCAACCCTGACGTGTCATAGCACACAATAAGCCATACTGAGTCTGACTCATGTAACAAACGCAAGAGTTTCATTGCCTTCCTTCTCGTGTCCCATTACACCTCCATTTTACAGCTACCAGAAGTACGTATCAAAAAAAAAAAAAAAAATCCTGCTTGAAACTTCTTTTCTGAGCACACTGAAGTGAAGAATTGAATCAACTCCCTTGCTTTTACCTTTGACTCATACCCTTGGTATCAGTTTATAATTGTTTCTGGACTAGCTATTTTACAGTTTAAGATACAAAAATGGAAACTTGGTACAAATGCGTAAGATGCTCCTTTGGAGAAGTGGAAAGGTGTCAACACCTGCATTATTGCCTCCTTTGATAGATCAAAACAGCATTCATGATACTAGAAACACTTTTCAACCGAATACCAGCATTTACACATTCTTTGTGAAAAATATTCAAATGTTACAATTCCATTTCATGGCCTAACATGCAAACTCATGCTTTAATTCACCTTATCAATTAATAGGATTACAAGAGCTGTATATCCCAGCCATCTAGTCAATATTTAAAAGCAAACCAGATTGTGGCAGAAGTCTCTATGAAAGGCTTCAGGCTTAACTTCAGCCAAGAATTTTATGACCAACTTGCTACACTCCTGAAAAATAGGAGCTCACAATGGAAAATACTGACTCTCAGTCCTGTAGCTACAAAAGCTCCCATAGATGGCATTAGATAATTTATGTTGTCCTTTATTTTGAGCACTCTTTAGAGATCAAAAAATTCAGACAAATGTGTGATTACAGACAAGCAACTCTACAGTAAAGTGCAGTCAGAACATACTGGCCTTCTGGACACGGACACATCTGCCTCCCACTTATCTTAAGGGAGAAACAGTGAGGAAAGTGCAGTTCTAAGGTTAAGGTGGGAAATGTATTTGTGCAGGACAGATTTGGATATAATTCATGTCTTTGTTTAATGACTTGAGCATTACTGGCCTCCTAATTTAACACTACTACTGTCCTAGGCTCTTGAGATTTAGGTATGTAGCAGCAGACAGTTGTGGCAAAACACTGTATTAAAAATATGGAAACCACAAACAAGCCTAGAACAGCAAACATCCTCTGCACAGTCATTCTCCAGTTACCTGCAGCTGCTTCCTCACTTCCACAGCTAAGAGGAGAGGGGAAAGAGGTACAGCTACCAAGTAACACTGCTTGAAGAACAGTACTGGTGGGCTGAGCAGCATCAACACTATCTTTCACAAGACTACGGGCTCAAAAGCTCTCAACAGGATTTGTTTGCTTTCTTGAAGACTTGAGGGGCGGCACCCAAGGCAGAAAGGCCTTCGGTGGAGGCAACAAGAACAAAGGGAAGAGAAAAGGAGAACTCAGACTGAAGACTTCCAGTACACCAATAGAGCCATAAATAGCACTATGTGCTTGGCAGAAGGCACAGTGATCCAGGGATGCAGAATTAAGTTCAATCTCACTGCAGCAGCTCCTCCCTTCTCCCCCAAAGGGAGGCCCCTTCTACAAGTACTTTTGCCAAGCCCTGTGCAAGCAACAGCTGGATGCTGGCAGCCCACCAGTGTACAAAGTACAATGACAAAGATTATTAATCCAGTTTTCCCCACTGCAAATCAAGTTGAACATTACAAGTGGCAGCCTCCCACACAGACTGTACTTTGACATGTCTTACCTTTAGCACAATACCAGTAAAACAAGACTCTCGCTGTTTTAAGACTGATGCTTAGGGTAATACCGTTCCTTAAACCAAAGTCTTATTTAGATGAGTTGTCACAAAAGGGTTTTTTTTTTATTGATCTGCAGTACAGAATGATCAAGTAACAGTTTCATCATCAACATTTTCTGTCCAGGGAAATCACAATTGTTCCAGTTCAATATGTTAACACAGAAATCTTATCTCCTTTAATTACAAGCAAGTATTTATTTCCTGCACTGAAAGATCAGTTTAATCAGATCTTAACATCTGCATTTTGAAGATTTGTATACAAATGTCAGATTTGTATACAAATGACTGAGCAGTAACCAACTAAGAAGAGCTTTACCAACACTGAGGACCTCTGCACGCGAATTTCATGTGAAATTAGTGTTAAGACACTAATTCACCTAACACAACATGTTTTCACACACCTTCCTTCAGCACAGGTTTCACAGCACGAAATACTGGCCTCCTAATTTAACACTGCATTCTTTTTTCAAACAGATCTGTTAGGACAGCTGTACTTTAAGGTATGTTATCATCAACAGGAAGCTGCTCTTCCACAGATACTTAATTCAGTAGCACGCCAAACACTCATGAGCTAGATAATGAGATACCGTCACATGAGTACTCCTTTTGCCACTGCATGCGCTGAACATGATGTCACATATCAGACAACTATTCTACTCAATATAAAACAGACCTGTAAAAAGACTGGTCATTTATAAAAGTTAAATACTATTTTCACATTAGAATCTTTGCTGTTTCAAAGAGATGAACCGTCAATAAATCAAAATCAAATTATCACTTATGAAAAAGTGGAATGTAATTTTGGCCAACAAGCAGTTAAGAAAGTTAAAAGACAGTCACTAAAATACTCAATAACTACGTGCGGCCAACTTTTATAGCAAAAACAAATACAAATCGTTCAATACCATGAAAAGCTTTAACTACCTGGACTCCTACAAATGGAGTAGATGACTGGAATTTCAAAGAAAATGAGGTTAGCTTTTAAGAGATGTCAACTGCAGCACTAGGCACTAGGAAAAAAGTATTACTCGGATTCTTTAACAAAGTTGTTACCAAATTTGTACTAAGTGGCAGTGTAAAATCATTATGTCATTTTAAAGCTAACAAATTAAAGGCACACAGTATTAACAGGTGTTCATTTAAAGGAAATGAGCAAAGAGGTAAACTTCTTAACAGTGTAGTTAAGTTATATATGCAAGACATCTGGTGTGAGAGTAACCAGAGTTGTAATTCAGCCCTTAGTTATCATTTAGTTCCTGTAAGACTATATTAGCATGAGAACTGGACAGTCAAAGCTTCGCCCTGAAATTTAGTAATATTGACTCAGTCAACTGAGAAATCACTGGAATGACAGATATATTAGTTTCAAGAATTTGAAAAAGTTCATAGGGACTCAATGGAAGGATACATGGATGGGTGTGCTGTACAAGGATTTTGTCTTGTTAATACTAAATATTTCCAGGGACTAGTTTGCACAATTCAGAAAATATTAAGTCAAAAAGCCTGGCAAGTAAGTGACAGTACACAATTTTTGCATATAAATGGCTAGCATACGTCATAAGGATGCATTTGTAGCTCAGAAGAAGTTAGCGTCAGCTTCCAAGTTATGTTTGTAGAGAGTTATAAATTCAGAACTGAACTATTCTAATTCTAGAAATATTAATCACAAGAGTGCAAAAGGAGTCCCTGCAGGGGGGTATTCCCTTTAATAGGTACATATAAGGAAACACCTGCAAAGATTTGTTACTTCAAGGAGACAGACCTGCTATTCTTTGCACAAACTTTGCACAAAAGATGTACTGCAGGAGACAGATGTAAATACAGTGCATTTTAGATGTAAGTATTCATGTCTGGTTCCAGTACTACCAGGATGGTACATAAATACTTATTACAGAGGTTTTCTTAATGGAAGAAGCCCAGTTTCTCACGCAGCCATTCTTCAGTTAGGTCTTCTGTATTTCTTATTTCAAATACCTAAACAAAATTGCATTGTGTAAACATCTGAGGTGCTTGTACTCAAAAGGGATAAGCATACGATGCAATCAATACCCAAAGTTCAGAAAGTTTACTCAGTTCAAGACAGTTATTCTCCTCTCAAGTGAAATACATCCATACCACAGCAGCACATTTTGCTTTCCCCAAAAGAAAAAAGCTTGAGGTATACACCTCAGAATAGAAGACTTGCACAAAAACCAAAACATTGTACAAGTCTTATACAAAACTTTCACATAGCCTTGAAATAGAAAATGAGACCAAAGTCACAAACATACTCTTTACATTCCACATGGGAAAGTGACTATTTTGACTCCCTTCAAGAGAGTTTTAATTCCGTATTGCTAACTAGAGTCTCTGGGATGCCCCACCAGTGGATCATCTTTTTCAGAAGAGGCAGGTGTCTAAATCTTGCAAATACACAGGCCTTGAAAACTGTTTTTCTAGGCAATGGAAGCAAGAAAGTTATTTTGAGACTGCTGTTATTATTCCGACCGTATTCAAAATAAAGCTATTTCCAGCACTAAATGTTATCTGCCTTTTCAAGTGTACAGTGTACAAAATACATGCTGAGGCTGACAGAATGAACGGGGTTTTAAGAGACTCACAAAAACTCCTCAGCAAATATACTGTCTAGAATCAGTTTCCTATTTACTCCTGTCCTTATCCATTTTACCATTTTAATCTGCTTTAGAAAACAATTTAAATTTATCTTTTCTCTTCTCCCATCCCTGCTGGAATAATCTCTGCACACTGATTCTCGTATTCAGACTGTGATCCACTACTATCAATGGAAATATTGATTTATTATGTAAAATATGGAAGGAAACCCCAAAATTCAGTATTATAGCATTAAGTATTATAGCTTAACAGAGGCCAAGCTGACATGCAAGCCATTGAAAAATACGAGGACTCAGTTGAATCACTGCAGAAATCACACCAGGAGGAAGTTACAGCATGAGCTAGAATGAAATCTAGCTCAGGGAGAGGCCAGCATAAAGTACATTTGAAGAGCAAGTAAACAACTTGAACTGGATGCAGGGGAGGGTCAGCTCCAGAAGGAAGATAATCATGTGCCTCTAATCCTGGGCTTTCATTCAAAAGCCTTTCAGACTGAATTCCTCCCGCTTGAATAGCGATACTAACTACAATATAGCTGTTTCGCAGGCTTTCACCTTCATTTCATCAAGTCTTCCTTCTCGCTTAGTGGGGTCCTTTCTTACGAGGTGCCTCTAGAACAGGTGGACATTCACAATACTCCTTCTTGCCTCAATATACATTTTTAACCAGGATGTTAAATAACTCAGCCAGGATAAGGAAGACCCAAAAATGAAAAGTGAAACCCTTCTACATTGTACGAAAAACCTGAAGTGATCATTGAATCTATTTAGCTTTACCATTTGAAACTAAAACCTTGACAAATTTACATGCTAATTATGGAGAAATTTCAAAGATCTCTCAAATGACAATTTTTTTTTAATAGCTCTATGCCTAGTGAATGCAGTGATTTCTTCTAGTCTCAGAGTAGAGGAAGAAAACAGAGAAAGGTTTAAAATTGTTCAGCAAGTGGTACATACTATTTACAAATACTTAAGTCAGTCTAAAATTAATTCTATCAACCTACTTCATTTTTACCTATCAGGAGAAGGTTCTTCCATTTAACTGATGGCTTTGGTACATAGGTTCCAAACACAGGTACACACTAACACGAAGTCAAGCAGTAAATTTTTTGCATCTGCCTTCCCTCTTGCTTCTATTTTAGACTTAAATTCTGAAGGCTATGTTCTATAAGTATAGAACTCCATAAACCATGCAGCAAAACAAGTCCATACCACACTAGACTTCAGTCTACTCTTCTCAAATCCATTCCCCAAAGTGAAGATACCCGCCCCAATGAAAGGTATTTTAGTCTTGGGGAACATTTTTCTTCTCTCTGTCCCTTAAAACTCCAAAAATTCCTATGTATGCTCCTTTCTTCAGTGTTTCTGAAACAATCTGTTCACTCTTATTTCAAAGTCCCATAACATTCTTCTCGTGTTACGTTCCAGAGAGACAGAAAAACAACTTCTGAAATCTGCATTTAAGGGGGAGACAGTCATTTCAAATAGTTATTTATACCTTAGTGAGTTCAGCTGTCTGTACAAGCTTATTCTTGCTCCCAGCATACATCATCTGCTGTTCAGGCTTACATCCTGTAGTTGTGAAGGGAAAGACTGTGTTTAGATATTTTGACTACAAGACTTCAAAGAGCAGATTTTTTTTTTTTTTAATCCAAACCAAAACCTGAGGTTTCCATGCAGAACTGTGACCTAATTCTTTATATACAGTATCATCTTGTTCTTACCTTCATACTTGTAAAGCATTTTCTGGCTATAGGCATGTAGGCTGAATTGGTAATCTCAATGCACATCTGTATTTCTGCTTAGAGCTGACATCAAACATTGCAGCAGTCAAACTTTAATTGCAATTCAGAATAAACAGCCAACAAAGCAGTACAAACTACTACCTCCTGCCACTACAGTAGTGTGCTAATTACACTACACTAAATTCTTCACCCTCCTGCTTTTTCTAGAACATTCCCACGCTGTTGTTAGTTACACTTATTCAGCTCTTAATAGAATAAGTGTCTGAACTAGAGTCAAACTGAAAACACATGTCTGTTTGAACTGTTGTTCTCTCTCTCCCCCATTCTCCTCCAAACTCTCCAGCTGAACTGGTACCTCAAAATGACTTTTTGTTGAACTCACAGAGTAACCTCAGCCACAATTGACATGAACGAGATGCTTAGACTTCTAACTGATAAGTTCGCTGTTTCTGACTCCAGCGTCAGTCTGACCACTAACTTTTGTGCACGGGACACTTTGAAACAGAAAGATCAAGAAAAAGATAACCTTTTCTTTAGAAATTTTTCTCTTGTGTAGAAGTTTCTAGGTATGGGTATAGTTTTCAGTCTTACAGACCATAAAGAACATTGTCTAAGCCATCTGTTCCTATGAAGTATTCCAAGTTCATCCACTTTAGCTATTTCAGGGTCTTCCAGGAAGATTCCTACTGCTGTTTCAACTCTCGGAACATCTTTCTGAAGAGAAGCAACACCGGTAACATTTGTTTGGAGACGCTCTGGTACCTATAGCAGAATATGCTCACTAGTCACTGAACTCTTTCACCTGCCTGGTTATTCTAGCTCTGAGTATTTGGCATCTGGTCAAACCCGGGACAATCTAAGGTTCCAGACTCTTTCTCCTTGAGCGCTGCCTGACCACCCCACCACACTCACTTGCCTAGATCTCAGTTATGGAGCACTCTATTCTTCTCTGCCCCTAAAGCTGTGATAGGCCTTTACATCTACACATTACAGCAGTGTTAGGCCTGTCACACACAGGCCCCTGGAAAAAATCCCTCGGTAACTCCACGTCAAGCCCTTTTAGAGTCCTGTTCTCTCCCAATCCCTTTTGCAGGCAGACATGTGTCGTCATGCAAGAGAAGTGGGGATTTCCAGCCCTCTTCTCACTCTTGACCGGACCACGCTCAGAACATATTTCAAGGATTCTCCAGGATGTGGGGAGAGGCTGACAAGACATTAGGGTAAATCTACATGAATAGCTGCAGAGTGTTCCAGGCTCCTTTCATTTACATTAAGATATTGCTGAGCATGTCACCAAGAACACATTGGGCACACTTAAAAAAATACACCTTTTGGAAGGCTATACAGGGAACTAACATGTCCGTTCCACCTTCGGAAGTTGGAAAAAAAAAAAATTGATCTCTTCTACCCTATTTCCTCCTAAGTGTTCTAGGTGCAAACCTCAAACGCACTGAAAACGTCCAGCAACTAGGAAGATCTGGGCAGATAAAGTATTGACAACTGCAACAAGCTGACACTGAGGACAGACCTTCACACTACAGACTCCTCTTCACCAAATAAGGTCTCCAGCTAACTCTGCAGCCTTACAGTGCCTTGATTCCAGTACTGGCAATAAATAAATAAATTTAGCCTTAAGCATCTGAACTACTACTCGAGCACTAAGCACTCATTTTATCTTTTATAGCAAAGAACGTTCCACGTTTACAGTACATAGTAGCTATCATTCACAATGGTCACTCACCAACTGGACTGGAGAAGATAAAGCATAATGGATAAGAAACTCTTCCATCATCATGCTGATACTTGTAACTATACACAATGAATGTTTTTTCTGAGGTTAAAGAAACTAAAAATTAACAATTTTATTAGGCTATAACCCTCAGTTACCAGAGCTCAGCGTAGGCACAAAAAAGTTCTCCTTCAGTCTTGCATTCTAGATGATGCTTCGACTTTGGCAAGTAGGTTCACTGTCCTCCTATCTTCACTTCCATCTATTTCAAATCCACATTTGACTTTCGGAACTGATCCCGCTTTTCTTTACCAACCCCGCTCACATCTAGGGGCAAGAGGCGTTTCCGTATTGCCGTTTCACATCACGTTAGAGGGCTAAAAATCACCCTTTCCATTGCAAACAGTCCTCCCTCCAGCTTTGCAAAAAGACTTCCGACACCCACCAGTTGGTTTGGACTGAATGAAAGTCAAATTATTTCCTTGCAGACCAAGCACTGTTTTGTTTCAGGTGTTTTGCTGAACTTGAACACAAGTTTTAGCCAAGACTCTTTCTTTATAGCCTCCTACTACACTACATTCATGAAAAGAAAGATTAAGAATGGTATTTGGAGTAACGCCATCCAGCCAGCCTCTGAGAAAAACAAGAATTCTTCCCTAAATTACTCCCCTACACACCTTCCAAAATCATTTACAATAGCAAAATAGCAAGGGACACTTACTGAGAAACTATCAAAACGTATCCTAAGTCACAGAGGCAGTCTTCTATATTTATAAGGAGCCACATAAAAAAAATTGGTATACTTTACTCATTTCTTGACACTAACAATAGCAGGGCTTCAGTTGTTTCCTTTTAAACCATACTCTAACATTTGGGGGAAGTCAAATCTCAGAAAAGGCCTAAGTGTTATCAGTCACTTAGTCAGTTAAGTGAGTCTTAAGAAGTGGGACACAACTGTTCAGTGCCTCATGAGAGTTGATCCCTACGCTATTTCACAAATAGAATATTAGTAGAGTTGTACTATGGGCAAGTATTGGCATAAAAAGGTGAAGTTTGACTTGGAACATTTTGCACAGTTTCCAGGAATGAACAAGACCAAACGCCAGCAACATAAGAAGGATATCGAGGTTGTCTCTCAGGCAGCTCGTCTTTTAGCTCATCAGGAGAAATACCCTGGTAACATTAAACATAAGCAATATTTGAACAAATTAACTTGCACTTATATCCTATGAAGGCTGAAACAGAACAATGGAATAGCAAGCAGCTGTGAGTTAAGATATACCTCTACAATTTAACTGATAATGATCTCTCCCACAAATTAGTAGAGCAGTTTAGGAAAACTTGTCTGTTAACAGATTCCTATGACTAAACAGGATTAATGTGAGCATGAATAATCATCCCTATTTTAGACATAATGACTTTAGAAAAACATTTTTGGCTCTAGTTGGATATGTTGGCAGCTACCCTGCTTTTCTAACTTTACTACTAAGCAGAAGTAAGCAAGCACACCCAAAAAGTATTTGTTAAAATCAACTACATAAACGGTGCTTTTGAAAATTCCGTACTTCCTTCTTCAGCAAACAGAAAGTCCTTATTCTCTTCAGACGTTACGTTAACTCCTACATTCTAGAGAGTAAGAGCTTTAATGCCCAAATCCCTGCAAAGGATTTGATTTTGCCCTACGTACCATCAAGAAACACTACACACTGGGCTGACCCTATTATGCCACCTATCATATTCAGAGCCTGCAAAGGATTAGCAATCCTAGCTTCTAAGCGATGGTAGATTAGTTCAGAGTCAAATATGCAGATCAACATGGAAATGCAGCAGAAGTCTCTTCAAAAAGCTAGCAAGTGCCAGAAGATGCTTTCTACATACAACATTACGTTGCAACAGCTTTAAATTAAGTTTTGTGCAATTAATTAGTCAACTCAATTGCTTCTGCAAAGTTCCACTATTAATAGTGCTGTATTTTACATGCAGAGTGACCATGCATTTAAATAAGCTCATGACCCAAATTAGATTAAGAGTTTGATAACGATTTGAAACTAAGGCAGTACCTTAGAGACAACAATACATTGCAGGCTGAAGATACTCTTATTTACAATTCATTTAACAAACCTCATGCTCCTCATCCAGTACCACCAGCTGTTTATCCTTGTCGATTTTCACTATAAATCAAAATAAAATAGATCAGCTTTTATATAAAAGATGTTTACATCCACCCACATTTTAACTGTTGTCCAGCCATCACTTTATACAATGTATGGATAAAGCTTTTTATATTCCCCCAGCATACAGTCCTTGTGCTTCCCCTTCTGCTCTTCACGCCCTATCCCATGACTTCACAAAGTCCTTGCAGTCAAGATAAGCGCACAATCTAAGTGTGTTCATTGCAATGCTCCTTTTTTCAAATTTCAAAAGACAGAAACATCACAGTCCCTTACTTCAGGGCTACAAAGTTTGCAAACTCAAGATGAGCATGCCTTGACATTTTTTTTTTTTTTGGCTATCATTTTACAACTAGTGACAGACCTTAAATTACATGCAAGTATAAATATTCCACTAAGAGCAAATGAAGTCAAGTCTTGTAGCAAAAGACCAGCATTACATTATTGTTAAAATTACAGAGGGAATGGGAGGGACCGAAGCTTATACCAGAAGCAGTCCTTTTGGATCACGTTTAGCTGTTGCAGCAGCAAAATTACATGGGAAGGAAGAGAGGAGACACAGGATTTTCTGCAAGATCTTGCAACTTTTGCCAGCAGTGTTTTTAACTTACTTATAATGGCAGCATTGTTGGTTTCTTTACGAAACCGGAACTTTCTCAGTTTCTCCACCAGGTCTTCAGCAACATCACAAACCACCAGAGATTCACTCTAGAAAAGGGAAATAGCAGAAGGGAGGGAAAGGTAAGGGAAATCTTTTGAATAAGATATTAAAAAAAAAAAGATGTCACACATGTACGCACAGGACAAACTCCGCTGAAATGGAAGTACCTGCAACCTGTTGAAAGTGTCAGAAATGCACACAATCCAGAACAACAACAGATGACAGCAGATTTTAAGACTACAAAACCAGAACACTTATCTGTTCTATTATCCTGTCCCAAAGCCATATAGTTTTATTAGCTATTCCTAAAGCAAGGTTATTCTAAAATATTTATCTTATGAAGGATTCCTATTTCTGCAACGTAGTTCTTAGGACATAAACAAATTTACAACGCATTTGCCAAAACTAGACCTGAAACTAGAGTGGCTTAAGGTGGTAGTAAAGTGGTTAAAATAAAGATTTAAAATCATAAGGGCTATTATTAGTATTTCAGAAGAACAGAGACGCTAATCAAGGGGCACTACCTTTTTACCCACAAAAGCGAGCTGAGCTTTAACTGAGCTTTTCAGATTTGCACACATGCAGGCAGCATTTAAACATTTAAATCAAGAAGCTTGCCTATTTGCCCTCATGTGTTAAAGTTACTAACTCCAAATTTGCAGAATATCCAAGTAACACATTAGTCATCATATTGAAGATGGGGAAGGAAGTGATTATTTCACAAGCAACCCTGCAGGTTATCTTCCACTATACATGCAATTTTTAACTGTACCAGGCCAACCACTGCCATTTCCGGAGCAACATCTTATACATACAATCCACCTCTATCACCACAGATAGAACGACAAGCCAACCTGAGGAAGAAAAGCTGATTTACCACCTCCAGCTTACTCATGTTATTGTCCTTGTACATTCCTAAGGCGTCAAGGTTTCCCTGCCAACGCAGTTATATTTCAAGATATCTTTAAAAAAAAAAAACTCAAATGAAAAAGATACTTGCAAAACAATCACAACAGCTACTAAATAGCTGCTTCGTTGAGACAGATCACAGCTTATATGTCAGAACGTTACTATTTAAACTCTGAGTTCTGGCAGGTCATCAGACCCCTCTGGACTTCAACATGGCTTGTTTCCCGAGTTTCCTCAAAAAGTAGAGAAGCGTCTCTGCTTCCCCTGCTTTCAAAATCACCTGGCAAGTATCCTATTATGCTTATTACTCCTAACAAACTTGCACCTTCATCAACTGCTGGCACATCTCGTGTCTCTGCCTCCTTACAATAGCTGGAGGGGCAATCAGGCTCTGTTGTGACAGGACTCTATTATTTTAAGGTTGAGCACTGTGTGTGCAGCCTTCACTTTTTTGCTCATTTCCCCTAAATTTTAAAGGTTTGTCCTGGCTACCTCCCATCCGCAAATGGCATTAATATCCACTCTCACTATCTCAGGAGGTCTCTACTTCAGAAACAGAGTTCAGGGGCTGCATTTCAGTAGCGAAGCGATATTCTACATGAAATACTTTTTTTTTTTTCCCCCTCTCCTTAAAGAAGCATTTCTTCCAGTCTTGCAGACCTGGGAGAAGACTCCACACCAGTTTCCTGCCCTCTTCCAGCAGATACTGCAGCATAAGCAGCAGCCTTGCTTATACCCGTGCAGCCAGGCAAATATAAATCCCTGAAGGAAATTTAAGCTCTGCCCCCAAAACACGCAGAAACATCAGATTCAGATCACCTGCCTAAGTT